ACTGCATCCACTTCGTTTGCCCCATGAGAAGGTCGTTAGCTGGCTGAGTTTTCCTGCGCAGACTAGTCTCCCACGGAGAATCTGAAATAACAGGTCAAGTCGTAATTGGGTTGAAGGTTGCCTCTGCCGCTCTCAGCCCCGCTGCCAGGCTCCTGGGACTGGTCTCTAGGGAATCCTTAAAGTGAAACGTCGGGGGCCCTCACCATCTCTTCTTCTGCTAGAAGAAATAAGTGCTGATTAAAAATTAAACCCAGTCTGCCCAAACCCAGTGGCTCTCGCTGCATTGAGATTTTTGACTTTTCCAAGAGGTGAAGCAGGTGACAACCGTCGGTACTAGGGGCAAACACAATGGGGCAGGCTGCAGTGAAGCACGTAGTGGGGGTCTCAGCGCGCACCCCAGCCTCCTCCCCAGGTGAGACTCAGGCAGGCCCGGCTGCCGGTGAGGGGCGGGCTGCCGAAAGCACTTACCTGAGCAGAACGTAGAACTGGAGGAGCAGGGCGGCGGTCCCCAGCAAGGACACTGTCACTTGGCTGTGGGGCACAGTGAGTTACAGTTTACGTCTGTTCAGTGGTGAAATGGCTTCAAGAAACCAGTCAGGTTCTGTTTCAGGATAATGGGATCTTAAACGGCAGAGGTGAAGTTTTAAATACAGCCAAGATGAATTGAGTGTAAGAACGTGCCAATAAAAATACGAAAAGTGGCTGCCGTTCATCCGGCTCCCACTGTCGTGAGCGCTTTTGACACTGGTTTCTAAGGAGCCTTTGGAACCTTGGTTTCAGACATTTTTGGAATTTTGTTGAGATTACATGTATGTAGTTGCATATAAGAACATCTTCCCCCTTCTCTTTCTTCACCATACACTCCGTTAGTTCTTAGACTATTTTATTAATTGGGTCTAGCACCGAGCGACTTCAGGATATTTGTAGAAATCTGATTTACCCTCCAAAGACTAATATTTATCCCACTGGAGGCACTCAAAATAAAAAAAAACAAACAGGCAACTTCAAAATATACTGCCAGACTGTTTAAATCAATAGCACATTGTTAGGACTAGAACATGGTTACGTGCTTGAAGTCGTTTTAAAAGGCATGGCTTCTTTTTAGAGGCACAAATTCCAGAGGTGGCCAAGTCAGCCACACTCTTTAAGTCAGCGCATGAAACATCCTGAAATGGGGCAAGAAAGGCCAAACAATTCCTATTCTTTCCGAAAAAGTTAATGTTTTAGAAACTGAAATGTTTACAGAATGTTTTGTTCATTTTGACACACCAATGTTTTTAAAACCCCAGAAGGTCAGTGAAGTTGAACTTGGGAACTGGAAGTAAATTTCAGCTAAACTTTCAGACTGCGGACGGGAAGGCACACTTACAGCCGGCGCCGATAGGATGGTGGCAGCGAGAGGTGCACCTGGTACGCCGTGTGGGCCAGACAGAAGTGAATCATGGTGTCCTGGTCCTGGCGCCTGGAGCGGTCACGGAGGGTGCCCAACAGCCCTGTTAGAGCTTTCAGACCCCTTCCCCAGTTCCCCACCTGCCCCGTCCCCCTTCCCTGCAGAGGACATACTCTCCCTTGGCCAGGGACAGATCCCTATGCCTTTAACCCACCCTGGGCTATGATTGGTGCCCACAGTAACTTAATTCCCCTGCGGCTCCGAGGGTCTAAAGTTTAGTCTGAGCTCAGGTTGGTTGTATCTACAGTGAAGTAATAGGACTGAGCTGGACATTTGAGACAGGTCGTGAATGTGACAAGGGAGAAAGCTTTCTCTAAGCCGAGAGATCAGCTTCTCCACCCCTATCCCCAGCCCTTCCCCTGGGGAGCACCTGGACACCTGAGCTCATCCCCAAGGTCAGGGAGCGGCTTCGAGCTCTTTGTCCCAGCCTTCCCTGTGGGCGAGCCGCTCCCCTGGGAGCCAGCACCTCCTGATCTCAGGCCCCCTGATCTGCGGCTCACAGCTCAGTCTCCCCCGGGGACAGTACCTGGAACCCCGCCCTCCACCTTCGTCCAGGAGATTGCGCTGGGCAGGGTGCTGCAGGGATGTTGCATTCGCCATGGGCCCCATAACACCCCAGTACTTAGTCTGAGAGTGGGGGCGGGGTTAGGGAGGGGATGTGTGGGAACAAGCCCCAAGTGAATGCTGGTTTCACCCTTGAGGCGACTGAAGGTACGACATGTCGATCGCTCTTACCAACTAACTCACTTTTTAATGCCACCTTTCGCTCCTTTATATACTGTCAGTGATTTAATGTCCCCGTGGTTCCTGCCCCTGCGCTTTGTTTGCAGAAGGCCTCAAATATTTACTGAATCAATGTTTCTTATGTCCATCCCATGACCACTTAAACTGAAGCGCTCAGGCCTCCGTTTTAAGAGAAAATAACAGAGAATGTTATTTTTTCTGCTTTAAGACTGAGAAAAGGAAGACTGGGACAAAAGGAAGAAGTGGTCAGGGTCAGGTTGCCCGGGATCCTCCAGTGAACATAAGTAATTGGGGGCGTAAGCTCCCAACCATTACACTGCCCAGGCGGGAGACTGGCTGACACTTCTCTATGAAATCTGACCGGTCCCAGGGACAGAACTGCGCTACTGACGGCCAGGTTACCCCCCCGAGAGGCCCATTGGCAAGGCCCCACCTATACACTCAGAGCTTCGTATTGGCTAATGTGGAAGGAAATTTAAACTACATCATTCATATTGGTAGAGAGATAGGAGAGGATAATGCCTTGATGAATCAAGACCAGGATACCATGAAAAGGAGCACACAGAGAAATTAATAGCAGAAATGAAAAGCTCAGTACATGGGCTGGAGGATGAAGTCAATACCCAGAAGTGGGAGCATGTGGTAGAAATAGGAGAGAAATGGTAAGACCGTTAGAAGCCCAGTCTGGGTGCCCCCACTCTAACGAAGAGGTATTTCTGAAGAGAACAGAGAAAAGGGGCGGCAGGAGGTCACGGGTGGAACAGTTCACAGCTGGTTTTCGAGTGGAAGGTACAGCTTTTGAGCTGTAAAGGGCCTGCTCAGTGCCCAGAATGGAGGGACAAATGTCCCCACTAGAGGACATCAGTGTGAAATTTCAGGACACAGAACAAAGAGGAGACCTTACAAGCTTCAAGGGAGAAAATAAGTAAGTCACACTGAAAGGACCCAGAAGCGAATGTGACTTCAGAGTTTTTGCTGTTTGCTCTACAATGTAGAAGTGGTACCTTCAAAATTCTGGGAGAAGATGATTTTCAAAAATGGTGTATTTATTCTCACATGTTTAAACTTCAATTGCCTTCCAAGTACTTTCCATTGGATGCAATATACCTATCGAGACTTTCTTTTGCTGCTCAAATCAGTGTTTGAACTTGTTGATTTTGATGCCTTTTAGTCCTTCCGCTGTTTTGTGTTTCACCTCTCCCACATCGGCAAGACGTTTTGCTTTGAAGACATTTTTCACCTGGGGAAGCAAACACAAAGTCACCCGGGGTGAGACTGGGTGAATAGGGAGCATAGGGACGGGGGTCATGCTGTTTTTTGGTCAAAAACTGCTGAACACTCAGCACCATGTGGGCAGGTGCTCTCATAAGTCACCCATTATCAAATGGGCAAACATGTTGAAAGAGTCTTCCCAAAAAAATTCTCTGAAGCTGAAAGCAGCCTCTCACAACAACACCAGCTGGCACACTGATCCAGATGGGTTCCCACGACACTCACCTAGTGGGGGAAGCCTGAACTGTTGTCCGAGGGGCCCGCCCTCCAGAAGATATGGAAGTTTGGGAGAGGAGAGTGGGGGTGTACGAGCGCCCATCCTCACAGATCATAAGAGAAAGTAAATAGACACTGTTTACACTGGGTGAATTGAGGAATAGCACTAAGAGCATATGGTATATAATGATGGTAGAATCTGCCAAAAGAAATAGCTGAAAAAGTTAACGGTGGTTGCCTTTAGGGAGCTGAATAGAGGGTTTGGTGAGTGGGACGTGGTCGATGATATGGTTTTCGTTATGGACTTTTATCACCCAGTGATTTCTCAATCTACATTCATTTAATAAAAGTTTTTAATGACATTTTTAGGTCAGATGTCTTGCATTACTTCAGTAAGTTTATGGAAAGATCAAATGGAATAATTTATGTGAAAAAGAAGTTTTTGCCCTGGCTGTTGTGGCGCAGTGGATTGAGCGCCAGCCTGCGAACCTGAAGGTCACCAGTTTGATTCACGGTCAGGGCGCATGCCTGGGTTGGGGGCAGGTCCCCAGTCGGGGGCATGGGGACATGTGAGAGGCAACCAATAGATGTATCTCTTACCGTCAATGTTTCTCTCCCTCTCTTTCTCCCTCCCTTCCTCTCCAAAAATAAATAAATAACATCTTTAAAAATTTTTTGAAAAGAAAAGGTTTGTAATTGTAAGCTATCATTTGGTGGACTGGTCACATGATCACATTGACTTAGAGGCCGCCCGGTTGCTGGGGAGTGGCGTTTGGGGGACAACACTGTCACCATGATGGTTAACTGGCCGCAATCACAGAACTGCAGTCGCTTACAACAGTGAACATGCGTCTTTGCTCCGAGTCTAGGGTCAGCTGTGGGTTGGGGACCCAGGCCAGGCTCAGCTGATCTCACCAGAGCCAGCTGCAGTCCAGCTGGTCCGGCGTGGCCTCCGCCACCTAAGTAGTGGCGGGCTGTCTGTCAGCAGGACCGCAGCGCTCCCCCCACGCTCTGTCACCCCCCAGCGGGCTGGGCCAGTTTCATGGCAGAGGCAGGAAACCAAAAGAAAGTGGAAGTGTGCAAAGCCTCACCGGCATATGGTCACAGCTGCCCCATTCTTTTGGCCAAAGCAAGTCACAAAGCGTGGGGAGGAGATCCCCATCCTCTACGGGAGGGGCGGCACATTCACACCGAAAAGGGAGGGTGGAGAAATGGGGCCACTCGTGCAATTCATAGTCTTCGAAGCAGCCCATCTGATTGGAGTGAGAACACAGAAGGTTGTCGGAAGACCCGTAACTGACGTTCTTTTCCTTTGTAGACAACAAGGGAGGTGTCGGAGCGTGCCGTGTAGATCAACAACCGCAAATTCTCAGCATGGAGAATTCAGAGAAGACAGAAGTGGTTCTCCTTGCCTGCGGTTCCTTTAACCCTATCACCAACATGCACCTCAGGCTGTTCGAGCTGGCCAAAGACTACATGAACGGGACAGGTAGGCATAGCAACCGAAGGCAGCGACGGGGCTCAGAACACGCTCCCCTGCAGTGCGGCCCTGTGGCATATTGGATACTTTAAGCTGAAGGTCTTTGAGAAACTGGCAGAATCAGGAGGGCCGCTCTGACCTCCTCCCCCGCCTCTCCCCTGAGGCAGGTCCTAAAACCCTCACGGGAGAGGTGGCCGCCCGGTACTGGAGGAGAGGAACGAGTGGTCATCTCTGAAAGCACAGGGAGGCCGAGTAGAGTCGCAGTGAGCGGGCCTTCACAAGTTCCCCTGAATTTGCCGCACTGCCCTCGTGCTCGTGGCCCTGTCTACTTGTCATCAAAGCCGAAATACTCGGGTTTAACTGGTTCCCGGGGTCTTCATTTCCTTGTGAAGGTTCCTGTGCAACCCTTATGTTAAATAGATGTGTATGCTTTTCTCTTAGTGATCTCCTTCTCGGTTTAATTTTCGGCCCCATCAGGGACCCTACAAGGGTCGAGGAAACCGTTTTTCTTCCCCCTGTACATGAGACTTACTTCATTACATGGATGAACATGGTCTGTGCTGACAGATAGGGGGATGGGTGCTCATACTCACTGATAATCAGGGAACTGAAATTAAAAATGACATCTGTGTTCCCCATCATGTGGACAAAATTTTTTAAGCTTCCCAGGGTCAAGTGTCAGAGGCTGGGGAGAACTGGGCTCTCTCAACACGCTGGGTGGGCCGTGCAGCTTGATTAGGGCGTTTTACAAGGCAGTTCTGTGTTATGTCTCTTTTACCACAGTTGTAAGTGAATGAATGAATGAACCTGAAGCCCTGTTTAAAAAAGAAAGGGAATCTTTGAGTATGAAACATGGTGGTGATAGTATTTCCTGTGTGTAAAATCCAACTTGCTGTACCTCATGTCAAGCCTAACTCTCCATGCAGGAAAATACAGAGTTATCAGAGGCATCATTTCTCCCGTTGGCGATGCGTATAAGAAGAAAGGACTCATCCCTGCCCATCACCGGGTTGTCATGGCCGAGCTCGCCACCCAGAACTCCAGCTGGGTGGGCGTGGACAGCTGGGAGAGTCTGCAGAAGGAGTGGACCGAGACTGCGAAGGTGCTCAGGTACCTGTGGAGGAATCAGCTTTGTTGGTTCTCAGGAGATGGGCTGGGGGCCTTCTCGGCTTTTCGCCACATCTTAGGGCCGCACCCAGACGCACGAAGCCGGCCCCGGGGTGGGAAGGCCAGGGCGGTGCCCTTCCCGTGGGAGGTCATGTGACGCAGTTGGTTTTCCTGGGCCTCTACATCTTTCATGGTGTCGGGAGATGTTTGCCTGCTTGTCCCTGTGGCTCCCTCTGTTGGAGGGTGTACACAGAGGAAGGCCCAGCTGTGCGGTGATGGTTGTCATCGATCTTCTTGGGTGTGAAAGAGGGGCGGGTAATTGAAGGAAGGGGAGCCGTGGTGCCTGACGGCCGCCGAGCCCGTCTCTGCGTGCTGCTTCCATGACAGCGCGTGGGGCTGTCACAGGTCTGGGCCTCCACCTCTGGGGCAGTTCCAGTTCAGGGCTCAGGAAGCAGAGTGAGTAACGGCTAGTTATCACTTGACATTTCCTCGAGTGTGAAATAGAAGGGCTTTCTGAAAAACCTTTCTATCTGGTGTCCGTTCTCAGAATTCCGAACCTTCAGGTTCTGGCCGCGTCAATTAGGATTCACATAGGAACTGGAAACCACTGTGAGTGTTTTACGCCAAGAGGGACATGGGTGTTTAGGCGAAGTGTTAAGGCTGGACGAGTGGGAGTCAGGACTCGTTCAAGGTCACACCTCCTCAGTGGCAGTTGGAGTTCAGGAGACTGTTCCTGCCTCTGCCGCGCCCTCCTGCTGTTCACCGTCCCCGTCTGTCTCCTGTCAGTGACAGGATGATGGAGTGTAGAGTCTGGCCACCACGCTCGCTCTGTAATATTGCCTGTCCGGTGTCACAGCTGCCGAAAGGTGGCCTCTGTCTCCCTTCTTCCTTCCACATCTTTCACGAGTGAGTCTCCTCGGCAGGATCTCGGTCACGTCCAGAAGCCGCCGCGAGGACCCCTGGGAAACGAGTTCAGGGCAGAATTAAACCCGGAGCCTGCAGATGGCAGCAGCTCGGCGGCTTCTCGGCAGGCCCGCTTCCCTTCCTGCTCCGCGGGGAGGGGAGAGACTCAGTCAGGCACCAGGCCCCTGCCTCCCTGCCCTGCCCGGCTCCCCTGGCTCCTACCAACCTGGTGCCCCTTACAGTCTCCAGCTCAAGAATTCAAGAGAGAAGGGATGTAGGAGCACCAGGACCCGGAGCGAGTTCCACAGGTGGTTCAGTTACTTGAATAACTGCAGTTACTTATCGCCGGGCACCTGGCTGCCTGCCAGAATGAAGTCATGCGCAGATGCTGCTGGCAGGCCCTTCCTTTAGGCCTCGGGCACTTGCCCTGCTCCAGGCCCTTACCCGTGGCCTTGTGGTTCTCCGGTCACAGGTCAAGCCGCACTCTTCAGCGGTCAGGAGTGTGGGCTCGGAGCCAGACTGCCGAGCTTTCAAATCCGGCCTCTGCTACTTATAAGCCAGATGAGCTGGGCCAATCAGCGTCCTCTCTCAGAGCAGATAATAAACAACTCTGGAGTGACGGCGGCAATAATATAGTTGCCTTGTGAGAGCCAAAACATGCACTCCATCAGGAGTTACCGGATGCCTCTCGTGTCCTGGGGCTCTAAGCTTCTCCCTCCATTATGGGGATGGTGATGATGACAGAAGAGAATTTCTATAGAATTCATAGAATAATAAATGTTATTATCTATAACACGCTGTGCTAACATTTACTCAAGTAATCCATGCAGAGGGTTGAGGGTGGTGCTTTGCACACAGTAAGGAATGTTAACTCTCGCTGTTGTGATCCGGACACATGAAGCTCAGACTGGAATGGCGGCCAAGTGCTGCTGTGCTCCCAGGGCTCTCCCTGCTTTCCGCTCTCAGGAGCCAGGGCTCCAGGGTGCCGGCCGGCATGCTCTCTGACCGACCAGGCACGTGTTCACCTGCAGTTTAGAGTTTTTACTCGAACCCCACCTTTAACTTTGCATCGGAGGCTCTTGGGCACCTGCAGATGGACGACACTTGGGGCGGGGGGGGGGCGATGAGGAACGTCCTGTTGCTTCCCTGTTTCACAGACACCATCAAGAGAAGCTGGAGGCCGGGGGCTGTGATCGCCAGCAGGACTCACCTGTGCTGGAAAGGCCGGGGCGGAAGAGGAAGTGGGCGGAACAAAGATCAGAAGTTAGTCAGAAAAAATCCCCAGAGCCAAGAACAAAAGGTCTGTATGTTTTACCAGGACTTTGGAGAGCTGAGCCAGCCCCTCTCCTGTTTTCATCTTCTGTTTAGTACGTGTGGGTGCCTGGAAAATGCCCCCGAGAGTTTGATGGCATTTACTGCCCCGAGAGGTTGGGGCAGTAAACGGCATCCGGAGCCCAGTCCCCTGCACTAGTCCTTAACTTAGACGTCCCGGGTCTCTTCTGAGCATCGGAGTCCGATGAAAACTATGACTCTTCTTTCCAGAAACACACACACACACACACGTTCATTTGGACTCAGGTTGTTACCAGAAAGGCGAACCTGAGGCAGGGCCCCCTTCTCCTCCCCAGGTGTGCCGAAGGTAAAGCTGCTGTGTGGGGCGGATATTTTGGAGTCCTTTGGCGTCCCCAACCTGTGGAAGAGTGAGGACATCGCCAAGATCGTGGGGGACTACGGGATCATATGCATTACCCGGGTGGGGAACGACGCGGAGAAGTTCATCTATGAGTCCGACGTGCTGTGGAAGCACCGGCCCAACATCCACCTGGTCAACGAGTGGATCACCAATGACATCTCATCCACCAAGATCCGGCGGGCCCTCCGACGGGGCCAGAGCGTCCGCTACTTGGTCCCGGACCTTGTCTGGGAATACATTGAAAAGCACAACTTGTACAGCTCCGAGAGTGAGGAGAGGAATGTCGGGGTGGTCCTGGCCCCCTTGCAGAGGAACACTGCAGACACTAACTCAAACACCACAGCGTGAAGTTCTGGACTCCCTTTTGGGGGGTTGGGAACAATTATGGGTGTTAGCAGCTGGGGAAAGGATGTGTGAGCCTGTTTCGTGAACTAAAGCTTAAAAGTGGGGTAAAAATCAGTAGTGAATGAAAGTCAGGTTTATATTTTTTCTCTTTATCAGAAGTGGCTAAGTTGAATGTTTTCAGTATGATGGCCTTTTTTTCTTCTCTCTCTAGAACATACAAATCCTTCTACCCTTAAAACAACAGATCAGCAGCACTAAAACCCGAAGACTGTTTCATCAAGCTAACTATAAATAAGAAATCACAAAGGACATCCTGGCTTTGCCACGTGAGAGGAGCAGAGTAGGAAAAGCCAGAGTCCACTTGAAGAACATTTCAGCATGCCTCTTTCTGGGCAGCTGTCGCCCAGCGTGGCCAGAGCAATAGTTCTTAAAATGGCCATCTTGCAGGGGGCACGGCTGATCGGACCCCTCCAGATGTGCAGAGACACGCTGTGAACGTGCCCGGCAGGAACTTCAGGCACAAGCCAACGGCACCCTTTGGAGTGGCTGGCTCAGCATCACCAAGACACATGCCTGCCCGGGGCTCTGCCGTCGGAAACACAGAGTGGGGTCCCAGTGCCGGAATGCTCACAAAGGTGCGCAGGCATCTCCGATGCCCCCCGAGGGGAGAGCCTCTGCCTCAGGTTCTTTACACGGGCCCACAGCGCAGCCCTGGGCTGGCTCATGTTCCAGCCCCCGGCCCCCACCGGCTGGCCACCGTCGTTCTGTCTTCAGGAGCCGCTTCAGAGATGATGTCCCACCACCTGGAACAGAGAGGACCCCAGAGAATGAGGTCCATTCACAAGAATTGTGTTCAGTGCCAGGGCTCTAAGCCTTTATCAGTCGCTTAACCAAAAGACAAACGGAGACCCTGAAAATGGAACACGCCTCGCTGGGCCAGCCCAGCAGGCTCAGCTCCAGGTTCTGGGCGCTGAGGACTGGTGTGTAGAAGCTCTCGGCTCAGGCCAAAGCTTGGGTCTCTGAAGAGCCCCGCTGTGTCTGTTCCAACCCACTGTGAATCCTCCTTTTGTGAATTTAAGCAGAAAAGAGGTCTTTAAAAAACACACACACACACAAAACTTTATTTTTTAGAGAGGGGAAGGGTGGGGAAAAGAGAGGGAGAGAAACATGAATGTGTGGTTGCCTTTCATGCACCCCCTACTGAAGACCTGGCCTGCAGCCCAGGTATGTGCCCTGACTGGGAATCGAACCAGGGACCCTTTGCTTCACAGTCCCGTGCACAATCTACTGAGCCACACCAGTCAGGACAAAAAGGGGTCTTTTTTCAAACACTTGTTCACTTTGTGTCCTTTTGTATGGTCACTAACCAGAGTAGAACTCCCAAATAATAAGGTCATAGCTTTATATTAAAAATGCAAGCTTGTTATAGGGTGGGATACTGATTAAAATTTTGTGGAAGTTTTACCAATTGGTAAAGCAAAAAGACCAGAAATGACTTTTTACAGGATAGTTTTATGAAAATTGTCCTGGGATAGAAACAGGACTAAAGTTAAAATTTTAATGAAAATAGAATAATTTACCTTTTGCAATTTGTATTTCATACCTACATCACTCTAGGTAAAGGAGGTACAGCTGCTGAGAAAAAATACTTAAAATTGTGCCATTGTATAATGAGATCTGAACCCACAGTTTACAAAAGGAAATTGAATTGTTAAATAAAACGATCAAATGTACACCTTACAGCTCCTGCCATTATTACTAACGCCAACGGGTCAACTCCTTGAAGACGGGGCGGCGGGGGGCGGGGGGGGGGGCAAAGCCTGGCACCCAGTCGTTTTTTTCTCCATCTGCTACATGAATGAAAAGGTAGAATCTTGGATTGTGGAAATGCAGGTCACTCTCTCTCAGCTTTGTGGAGTTTAAGAGCCAGAGCAGTCCTGGAAAATAGTGATTTCGAAGTAGATGAAGCCATCAGAATTTAACTCTGATTTCTTCTCCTGGAAAACTGTGATTAGCGCATCTGAAGTCTTGCATGACCTGTAGACAGGTCTCCAGTGCGAGCAAGCTCGCTCACACTCTGTTGCCCTCTCAGTGTCCACACCCTGCTCAGTGCCCACCAACCCTGCTCAGCCACGATTATGTTGACCTCAGGCCCCATGGGGTAGGGCGGCCTCGGGAGACCCTCCTGGGAGCGCTGGCGATGGTGAAGTGGCCCTTTGCTGTGCTCTTTGGTGATCAACACCTTTGTTGATACATTGAATGAGCTGCTTGGCTGGCTTGGCTTTTTGTCCAGTACCAGGGATGCTGTTAATGTCACAGCATAATAACACAGTTCTGGGTATCTTCAAGGACAGAGCTTCCTCCTTGGGTGATAGAAATTAGAACAATGAACTTCTCAGGGGAACAATATTAGTAACTGCTGTGACCTCCATTGAGGAAGAGGAAAACATGCCATTGTTTGCTCCATTCCGTGCCTTTTTCATAATTTGCCGTCGCAACGTGAGAGTTCGGGAAACATGTGAAGCTGGTATTTAGCTTGTTCTGTGCTGGTCTTTTCACGTGTTGTGCCCTTTTTGCCCTTGATAGTGTAGTTTAAGTGCCACAAACAAGCTTGTAGCAGGTTCTCAACTGGCAGCTCCATCAGCTTCACTCAGTTGAATGTACAGCAAGTGGAGAGGGTTTTCTTTTTTGCTGTTGTTTACCTGTTTGGTGGACAACTGGGAACAGCAGATCTTTTAGATGAGAGGAGTGGGTTCCCTGCACTGTGGGAGGGAACAGCTAGTGTCTGCAACCCCCAAAAGGGCCCTCAGCCAACCACACTGGCACCTTCACCTGAGATTCCCAACCTCTGGAACTTAGCGCCCCCTGGAGGTCAATGTCAGGAAAGCCTAGACCAGTCTCCTTAGCCAAGGAAATGAAGACAAGGGATGTTGTAGGTACCATACAGGAACCGTGTTGGGCTGAATCTGCATTTTGTACATTTTGTGGTGTTCACTATTTGGGGGTATATAAAGTTTATAACAAAATAGGAAAGTCACATTATGGAAATTCAAGGGGGGTAAAAAAGAGGGTTCTTGGTGACCAAAGGGGTGGTTTGGGCTCATCTCTGGGCATCAGAGTCAGCCTGTACTCCTGCCCTGTGAGGAGCTCACCACTGGGGAGAAGCAAGCACCCCCGATGCGAGAGCTGCTCTCCACCACCCCCACCTTCAAGTCCCTCCTCTGGGCGCGCAGAAGTCACTGTGTTAGGAAATAGGCTCCTTTCACCCTTGTTTCTGGGTGCCATGGACACCTGTTCCCCTGCCATTCTCCTAGTTGTTCCCAAAGGCCCCGCGGCACCCACCCCAACGTGAAGATGCACGGACAGGCCCACCTCTGACATCTGCACCACGTTTACTGGGGGTGCGTTTGGGCTCCGTAACATCAGCACTGAGCATGTGCGGGGCACAGGGCACCTGGGCCTGGTTTCCTGAACTGGGCACAGTTAGGTGACGGTGTCCAGGACAGCTCAGGCTTGAGTGAGCAGCTTGTCTGAGCCTGTGCTCTTAACCCTCCTCACCTTACACGATGCATTCATTACCCTGCAAATAACATCTCAGCCAAATCTTGAAGTTTTCATCCGCCCCACGTGGATGAGTAAAAGTAAATGAACTTTCAACAGTACGATGGTCTGATGGTGGTGGCTGGGGGTTCCATCCACACAGGAGGACCGAGGTGACCATGCCCAGTGTGAGCGATGCCTTGGAACCAGGGTGGCGGAAGCCCAGGGGGAGCAGGTGACGTGAGCCATAGCTCATGTGCAGAACAAAGAAGGAGGTGCCCAGCTGCCTGTGCAGCCACCGTACCACCAGCATGGAGGAATGCCACCTGTGCAACCGCCGAGGGAGCGTCCTTCCGCCTGGGAGGTGGGTGTTCACTGCGGGGCCTGTCAGTCAGGTGCTTGTGGACGGCGTCCCTGGACTCTGTCCCTTTCTCTAAAATAACGCAGTGACCTCTGAGGCCCCTTCCAGCTCTGAAATGCTGTCGACCTTATGGAGGGTTGGCACTCACACTGGCTTCTCACCACTCTGCACAGCAGCCTGTCCCTTACCTGCCGCGTGACCAGGGGACATGTCTTGGGACACTCTCATTATGTAACGTAGCAACGGGAGCCGCACAGAAGACGGAGACTCTGCTGCGGAGTTGCCTGCAGGTAGGTGGGGAGGAAAACCTGCCGCATTTTGAGCATTAGCAAGAGGCTCTCCAGAACCACACCCGAGGCGTCCCAGGCATGAGCAGGACAGGGAGCCAAGACCTTGCCATTCCAGGGGCAGCTCCTCCCGTGAACCTGCCAGACTAATGGGTAAGGTGACCAAAGATGACGTTTTCAAACATTGAGGAAAATGCAGAATGGGTTACCTAGGTTCGATACCAAGGTTGTGGGTTTGATCTCTGGTGGGAATGCATGTAGGAGGCAGCCGATCCGTGATTCTCTCACGTGGATGTTTCTCTCTCTCTCTGCCTCTCTCCCTAAAATCCTTATAAACCTTCTCCAGGGTGGGTTCTCGGGGCCCAGAGTTTTCCTGGACGAGCAGGCTGCCCAGTGGTGCAGCTAAACGTGTCAGTGTCTCCACAGCAGACCTGACTTTCCAGCCACACTGGCCTCCCCGGAAGGACGGTACTCGTGAAGTGTAATCATTTCACTTGACCTTCATTCAGGACCTTCAGCAAGTCAACCGTGCTCAGCAGCGAACCACAGTGAGCTTGTCTCGTGCCCTCAGACAGGGTGAAAAAGGCGAATGAGTTGCGTAAGGAAATGCGAGTACTTTGATTTTACTGCCTATGTCAGGATGTTTTCCACTGCAAGTAGCAGGAAGTTCAACTCCAAGTGTTTTTAAACAATAAGGACATTAATACCGGAAGTAGAGGCAGAGGGCAGGTAGGACCCAGGGCCCGTGGGGCCAGTAAATAAACAGCGTCTTGAGGACCCCAGTTCCTTTCACCGCCCCCGCCATTCTGCCGGTCCCAGCCTCCTACCTCTGGTGCCCCTTGAGTTGCAGGATGGTCACCCGTGGCAAGTCTTCCTCGTTTGTGTTCAGAAATGGAGAAAGGCCCGGTTAAAATCAAGCATCTTTCTCAGCGGCCCCATCAAATTTCTCATATATGTTGTCTGATTCAAATCCCTTTGAACCGACTTGTCCCTAAAATCAATTAGTGGCAAAGGAGACAGGGTCTCCGTGACTGCCTAAGCCTTCAGTGACCAGCCCTCATCCCTGGAACTGGGCCAGGCTTCTTTCTGCATGGCGCTGCTTCCCGACCGGGCAGGGCAGGCACAGATGGCGTGGGGGTCACCACAATGTCCACACCATTCTTTGCCGGACCAGCATCAGGCTCCATTGAGTGACGGAAGAGGGGTTCCCCGACAGGACCCCCTTGTCAGTTCTCACCTTGTTACCGTCTAGAAGGAGCAGTGTCTATACCCAGTTTGGGACCTCGTGCCTATCATGTTATGGTTTGCTTTGCTGGTATCAAATGGAAGGAGAGACAGGGCTTGAATTGGGCCAAAGTTCTCCCTTCTTTCCTTTTTCTTAAAAATAAATTCAAATAAGCCCTGGCTGGTGTAGCTCAGTGGATTGAGCATGGGCCTGTGAACCAAAAGATCATGGTTTGATTCCCCGTCAGGGCGCATGCCTGGATTGCAGGCCAGTTCCCAGCAGGGGATGCACCAGAAGCAACCATACATTGATATTTCTCTCCTTCTCTTCTTCTCTTCCCTTCTAAAGATAAATAAATAAAAATTTAAAAAATAAATTAAAATATTTTATTTATTTATTTTCAGAGAGAGGGGAAGGAAGGGAGAGAGGGAGAGAAACATCAGTCGGTTGCCCCTTGCACGCCCCCAACTGGAGACCTGGCTGGTAACCCAGGCGTGCGCCCTGACAGGGAATCGAACCTGTGACCTTTCAGTTTGCAGGCCGGCGCTCAGTCCACTGAGCCACACCAGCCAGGGTCTCCCTTCTTTTCTTTTCAGAGAAAATTTTGTCCTTGTCTAGAAGAAAGATCTTAGAATTGTAAAGGAGAAAAATGGCTCCTTATCCCACGGGCAAGCCCAATTTATGCTGCTTGAACTGAAATTCAACCCTATTGATACTGGGTGGCCCCTGCCCGGGCTGGCACAAATGCTAAAATTGTTATTAGTTATTTCCATTATACCAACCAGCACAAATGCCAAAATCATTATTAGTTATTTCTGTGACTTCCACTTTCAGGCCAAGGTCTAGAACAATAAGATGTTAAGGATAGGAAATAAGTATAATTTTTCCATTGCCTGTGGAAAACAGGCTTCATGCTCCAGAAATCTGGCCAGAGTTCATAGTTCTGTGCCCATTCAGTGGCAAGCAATAGCCAAGTCCAGGCTTTGAAAACAACCTCTCAGAGTCCACCAAAGGAGTCGATATCTTTTAGTTACGAGAATCAACATTCCCATTCTGAGCAAGGCAACGCAATGCAGGGCAAGCGTCTGCTTCCTCAGTAAAAATGGCATATCTGCTTTAGCAAAAGTGGTAGCCCCGGCCAGCGTGGCCTCATTGGTTGGGTGTCATGTCACAAAGTGCCAGTTCGGTTCCCGGTCAAGGCACATGCCTGGGTTGTGGGCTTCATCCTCATTCGGGGCATGTTCCCGGGGCAACTGATTGATGTTTCCCTCTCACATCAATGTTTCTTTCCCTCTTTCCCTCTCTCTTCCCCTCTCATTC